CCTTTCATGAGAAAACCAAACAAGAATGTGGAAAAATTATACACAGCTTACAATAAAAAAGACTAGCTTTTTGTTTTGTTTTGTTTTGTTTTCGTGTAACCTCACTGATCTCATAAGACAATCATCATCAAACCAAAACCCATTCAAGAAATTGCGCATTCGAAACCCCAAAACAAATGAAGAAATATGGCACACGTAAAAACGAAAAGGAAGAAAACCATTTTTTTTCTAAGCAACCATGAAGATGGGAGAGTATGCAGACGCACTTGCAGTCTCCTAGTACCTACTTTTTTTGCAATGTATTCACATTTATGCGCTTCAAATTCCACCGAGTTGGAGAATTTGATCTTTTTTTCTCACACTTGCGTGCTTGAGAGACATCTCCATTGCCGTATCCGAGGAGTCTTTTCTAGTAGCATTTGCAATCCCATGTTGTTCCCTTGCATCCCGTTCATGTACCTGCGTTTTACATCATTTGGAACACAATAAGGATAAGTATCTTTGTCTTTCGTTATTGTTCATAAACCATTTGTACTACTACAAACTCAAAACTAGCGAGAGTGTGTTCGCTTACTTGCTTCGACGAGCCTTCTTTCTCCAGAAAACAAAAGATGTGATCCACTGCAAAGGAAGGAATAATCAGAAGAATCAGTTAATGGGTACAAAAAACTTATCACAAGTTGCTTGCTATCGGTATGTTATGTGTTAAAAAGATCATAAACCACTCATTGGTATGAGAAATCAAGTGACCTTAAAGACAGATATGAAATCGAACGCTCCAACAATAGATGCTTTCCGCAGAGGCAATCCCCGTTCTGGGATAACTTCCTTCGATAGATGTTGAGCAATTTCTTTCAAAAGAACCATTTGAGCTTTCTCGGTTCTCATCGACATAATCGCCTGTCTCATTGATTCCCTGTCAGCCTCTAGTGCTTGAAGCCTCATATAAAGCTTCGTTACATCAGGATCACCAAGATCCGGCTGATTCAATTTTTCTCTCGGAGACATCACATAATCATCCGCAGTGTCATCCCTAAATTTTGGCTCAGCAGCACCACTATGAGAAACACCGTGATGGATAGAATCAATCGTATAAACTCTATCATTCATGTCATTATCTCCTACCTCTGATGAGTCATTCTTACCCTTTGCAAAGGAATTATCCTCTGCATACGAGGCATCTTCCGATTTTTTTAAGCTATCGTTGCTAGACCTTGGGGAATCAAGGGAGAAATCAGGCCTTAGTTCCCTAGTTGTTCCCAAAAATGAACTTGAACTACCGGTTGAAACCCTCCTGGAATGTCTCTGACGCCTAGGACTCTGACCAACCACCACCTTCTCCAAATAATTTCTATCTCCTGATACTTCACCGTTAGACTGAGGAAAGCTCGGATTTCTCTCCATCTGACTTATCCTTCGTTCCAAAGTCTTCAAATGTCCAAGGCCATGAGGTAAATCAGTCAATGCGTACTTTTCAACATCGTCAACATCAATATCAGCCTCCAAGGGATCTGGATTCTCATTCAAACTGCACTTAAGAGGAGGGTAATCATATGTAGGGAGATCATATTGAAACTCATTCTCGATCATGCTCAGGTTACGGCTAAGCATGTTCTTCTCACCATCAAGCTCAGACTCAGTGACCCCGTAACTCATCATTCTATGCCTATAAGCCTGAGCTTCACATGTCAAAGCCTGAATAGTCTGCTCTCTCTTATATATCAAATCTTCAAGAGCCGCAATCTCTTGCTGATCATGCTCCATTTTATCCTCAGCAAAACGCTTAAACTGTCTCAGTTCCATTTGTAACTCAGCCTTCTCTCTCTGCAATCGCAATATCATAGACATTGCCTCGCTCGCAGCTGTCGAAGCAGCATTCCGTTCTTCGTCAAGCTCAGCGTACAAATCCTGAATCGATTCCTGTTGGCTGCTAACAGTTTCACGCAACAGTTCACATTCGTTCTCGATTTGAACTTTAGCATTAGAAGACAAGTCCAGCTCAAGCTCAGGTATGTAGAATGGTTTCTCATCCTCGAATTCCTCGTATTTTCTCTTCACAGACCGAATCCAAGAACTCGACGAATAAGCATTATTATTCAGAGAGCAATCACATCCACAATCACAACATCTAACCACATCCCTGGGAGGTGATACAATTACCAAATCCATAGAGAGTTTTTACAATCCCAAGGTTGTGTCACCTTAACATATCAGTGATCCACCAAAGGCTTCTCTTATGCGCAAAACCGCGAATTTAGCGCTAAGGAAGACCTCGAATCGCCACGAATCAAGCTGAATCGAATTCTGCGAAAACCACCACAAGTTTTCTCGTGAATTAGCTCATGAAGAAGTCAATTCACACAAACATTATTCAATCTTAAATCCAATAGCTCGAGTTTTCTCGTCGCGAAGAAGCAAAAAAGGAAAGCTTTTTCAATCGGAATAGAGTAGAAAAAAGCAAACAGAGACATAAATCGAGAGACTTTACCTTCAACAACCACCAAGAAAGGGCAAAAGTCGGAAATTTTCCCGGGAAAATAAGCTTATCG